TTTAAGAATATCACAATAATTTCGTTACTGATGGCAAAAAGTTGTAAATAGCCATAAAATTTATTGGTATTTTAGGCATTCATTAATTTTACATCTTTTTGTTGAAACACAGACATTGTATCTAAAGAAAATATAACTAGAAAAAAATCCACGCGGACCAGGCAGCAGACGGGACTCGAACCCGCACCCTTCGCAATCCGGGCGAATGCACTGACCAATTATGCTACCGCGGCCCTCACGGACCGCGTCGAAATTCTTCTAGCCATTCTTAAGCTGCAAGGCAGCGCCATCTCTTCGCATTATAGGTAACCCACAATGTCAAATGAATACTTTTACAAGTATTAAACATTTGAAAGAAGAAATAGCAATTATAGTTATAAATTTTATTATTTTTAAAGCATGTAACTGCTTGATGTTTAAATCTAAAGAAAATATAACTAGAAAAAAATCCACGCGGACCAGGCAGCAGACGGGACTCGAACCCACACCCTTCGCAATCCGGGCGAATGCACTGACCAATTATGCTACCGCGGCCCTCACGGACCGCGTCGAAATTCTTCTAGCCATTCTTAAGCTGCAAGGCAGCGCCATCTCTTCGCATTATAGGTAACCCACAATGTCAAATGAATACTTTTACAAGTATTAAACATTTGAAAGAAGAAATAGCAATTATAGTTATAAATTTTATTATTTTTAAAGCATGTAACTGCTTGATGTTTAAATCTAAAGAAAATATAACTAGAAAAAAATCCACGCGGACCAGGCAGCAGACGGGACTCGAACCCGCACCCTTCGCAATCCGGGCGAATGCACTGACCAATTATGCTACCGCGGCCCTCACGGACCGCGTCGAAATTCTTCTAGCCATTCTTAAGCTGCAAGGCAGCGCCATCTCTTCGCATTATAGGTAACCCACAATGTCAAATGAATACTTTTACAAGTATTAAACATTTGAAAGAAGAAATAGCAATTATAGTTATAAATTTTATTATTTTTAAAGCATGTAACTGCTTGATGTTTAAATCTAAAGAAAATATAACTAGAAAAAAATCCACGCGGACCAGGCAGCAGACGGGACTCGAACCCGCACCCTTCGCAATCCGGGCGAATGCACTGACCAATTATGCTACCGCGGCCCTCACGGACCGCGTCGAAATTCTTCTAGCCATTCTTAAGCTGCAAGGCAGCGCCATCTCTTCGCATTATAGGTAACCCACAATGTCAAATGAATACTTTTACAAGTATTAAACATTTGAAAGAAGAAATAGCAATTATAGTTATAAATTTTATTATTTTTAAAGCATGTAACTGCTTGATGTTTAAATCTAAAGAAAATATAACTAGAAAAAAATCCACGCGGACATTGTGGGTTACCTATAATGCGAAGAGATGGCGCTGCCTTGCAGCTTAAGAATGGCTAGAAGAATTTCGACGCGGTCCGTGAGGGCCGCGGTAGCATAATTGGTCAGTGCATTCGCCCGGATTGCGAAGGGTGCGGGTTCGAGTCCCGTCTGCTGCCTGGTCCGCGTGGATTTTTTTCTAGTTATATTTTCTTTAGATTTAAACATCAAGCAGTTACATGCTTTAAAAATAATAAAATTTATAACTATAATTGCTATTTCTTCTTTCAAATGTTTAATACTTGTAAAAGTATTCATTTGACATTGTGGGTTACCTATAATGCGAAGAGATGGCGCTGCCTTGCAGCTTAAGAATGGCTAGAAGAATTTCGACGCGGTCCGTGAGGGCCGCGGTAGCATAATTGGTCAGTGCATTCGCCCGGATTGCGAAGGGTGCGGGTTCGAGTCCCGTCTGCTGCCTGGTCCGCGTGGATTTTTTTCTAGTTATATTTTCTTTAGATTTAAACATCAAGCAGTTACATGCTTTAAAAATAATAAAATTTATAACTATAATTGCTATTTCTTCTTTCAAATGTTTAATACTTGTAAAAGTATTCATTTGACATTGTGGGTTACCTATAATGCGAAGAGATGGCGCTGCCTTGCAGCTTAAGAATGGCTAGAAGAATTTCGACGCGGTCCGTGAGGGCCGCGGTAGCATAATTGGTCAGTGCATTCGCCCGGATTGCGAAGGGTGCGGGTTCGAGTCCCGTCTGCTGCCTGGTCCGCGTGGATTTTTTTCTAGTTATATTTTCTTTAGATTTAAACATCAAGCAGTTACATGCTTTAAAAATAATAAAATTTATAACAGACATTGTAGATAGAAATAAGCAGTCTGGTCACCCCTGTTAGAAATCCGGTTTCAGCCTTGTGTTAAAAATAAAGTCATCAATTATTTCCTATAGCTCGGATTAGAATTCAAGCGGCCTCCAGTGATATATTTGAACACTTATCAATTAGACCCAACGGTCAGGTTTCAAGTCACGAAGGTTTCAGGCGTGATAGAAGATTTGCTGGATGAAAATTTCACCTCGCACAAATATAATGTCCAGGTTGGTTTGGTAAACGTTTTATCATAGTCTTAAATTAAGATCATGCGACATACACTGATACAGCTACTACCCCTATTATACAAAGGGTGTAAAAAATCCTTTAAAGAAGTCAAAAGCTACGTATTTTCCACATCATGACGATCATTACAGCTATTAACGGGATTGTTACCATGTACCTTGTTTTTTATGAGTCATAAATAATATTTTGTAATATTACTTGTTTGGGTGTACAGAATGCGTAGTTTTAGTCTTTGTCATAGGTTTTTTTTACACCCTGTATGTTTGAATATAATGACAATAAATAGTGATATAGTATAGTACTAGTATTGAAAGAGACTATTGTTATACAATTTTTATTAAAGGAAATCTATATATCACGGTCAATGAGTAGGTAAGTAAAATTTTTACATGTCACACAAGGTAAAGTTAGGTTGCAGCTGCAACGTTATCATTGTTTTAAAGAACATATTTGATACAGGATGGAATTATGATTACGGTACCAATGAAATACTGTTGAAATTTTTACAAGTTGAATGGTATTGCCATATAATACAAGTGAAGAAAAATATGACATGTTTATTAGTTACTCCGTTACGTTACGTTCTATCCTGTTATGTCAGATGCATGGTACTTGAAAGATCTTCCTAACACTTTTTTGTCATATTGTTTAACCTAAAAATTTTATATCTAAATAGATGTATTTTCGACAGGACTCTACAAGCTTGACTATTCGTCTTGCAAACGAGCTGATGAGAAGAATCAAGGGAATGGGCTTCAATAGGTACCGGATCATCACTGTCGTCACCATTGGACAGAGGAGGGCTCAGAGCTACAACAACGCTATCGGTTTCCTCTGGGACCATGAGAGGGACTCCTACATTAATACCCAGAGGGATGTCACTACCGCATTCATACAAGTCACCGTCTTTGCTATTTATCTCGATTAACTTAAGGTTTTGAATAACAATAATTGCGTTAAAAAGCTTAACAACAGTTTGAAAAGAGTGTACATTTTAATTTTACGTGTTATGTAAATGTATGTTTGGATTAATACGAAAATATAAGGAACGATTAAGTATAATAATTATGTTAAATGCTTTCATTCCGTGGTGCCAGATAAGATACTATGAAGCGTTGTTAAATGTTAATGCTATTGACTACCTTATAGCAAAGAAAATAGCGCCTGCTTTCGGTTAATCCGTTGTGTGCGTTACTCGATGCAGTTGTTAGTTATAATAAGCGATCTATTTCGGCATACAAAAAATGCCATGGACAAAACTCCTTTGCCAGCGCAGGGTATTAAGACATAGGATAAAAGTCTCTCGTCTGCGCAGGCTATTATGTAGGCAAGGGACAATTATACAACTCTTACGATCAACTCGCCGTCTCCAATCAGCAAATAATTTAAATCCAATAAAAAGTTAAAAATAATTAAAATTCTGTTTATTGAGAAGTAAAAGCTATATAGTTGACATTGTGAAACCGTGGAACATTCAAAATTAAGACAATTAAATCTGTATTAATTTGAAAGTTATAGATTTAAATTAAACAATGTTTATCATGCTTATTTGCACCTACTCACTAAATAAAAATATTACCTACTTTAGCTATGCAGGAAACATACATTTTAGGAAACAACCATTTCAGGAAGCAGACATTCTAGGAAGAAACCATTATATGAAGCGAAAACTCATGTTGTGAGAAAGCACACATTTTGAAAATAGCACAGACATTACGGGAAGTAAATCAACCAGCAGGAGAATAAAGGTAGCTACACACATAATCGGGCCGGCATAGTCGGTTTGGCAGTATTGTCGAAAAAACAAAGCCGACCCGTTGTAGTTACTGCTGAAGGTTCATCTGCACATACTATGTGCCAATATTATTCGCTTTTACCGCCCGTTGTGGAATAATGCCGGTCCGATTGTGTTTAGCTACCTTAAGATGCGTCACGCAAATACAGTGCTTGATTCGTCAACAATACTAATTAAAAGACTGTACACAATGATGATTGGTTAAAAGTACTGTGTACAAAAAGTTCTCCGAACAACCGAAGACACCGAGAAACCGGTCAGGACAAAACGACGCGGGTGTCCCCGCTCAAAATAGACCTCATGTGACTAGGCGCAGTAACGCAAACAGCGAACATTAGAACGCGTTGCGCGCTCGATCCGATTTAAAGGAATGGACCCGGTATTATCTTTTAAAATTTTTTTTCGTTTTCTTAAACATCATTTTAATTACAAACAACACAACGTTATCTGAGCGTATTTACTTCGTAAGCGTGCGCTTTCCTAAATTTTCGGGGGCCAAATGTTCGCTCATCGTGTGCGTCGATTCCGTGACAAATCCTTAATTAAGGTTGCTGATCACAAATTTAATAATTTTAATGGCAAGCGCCATAATATTTTAAATTAATCAAAAGTTTTTCAATCAGAAGGACGGAAAAATGGACATAGAACATCTACGCTTGCGCAAGAAATACTTATTTTTCTTTACTTAGAGTAATCACTACCGTTCAATTTGGATTCTCTATGGCAACACGTCTGACAAACCTTTGCCAAACATCATTATCATCTGTGTCACTTCTATCTTTTTTGGTCATCAGCCATAATAAGGGAACATTTGTAAAATATTTTATTTTTACCATTTCTAATAAAATAATAGACAATGTCCGAGATCACCGCAGGTTCAAGGAAAAGCAAAATATCGATAGCCGCCAATCTAATGGGATCAGGCTCAAAAATCAGTACCGTGCGATCTGGTGGATTGAAATCACTCAGTAGACTGGGACTGAGGCGGAAGTCTTACGGGTTTGGTGCTACGCCAGGGATAAGAACTGTAGAAAAGACGTCACAGGTTTTTATTATATTACCTTTTTCTTTAGAGGAACGAATTACGTTTGCCTGCATAAATAAAATAAATTAAGCGTTGAACTGTTAGGCTTTTTAAAGCATTGTGTTTTTTTATTGCACAAGATGTTAAACAAAGCTTGCGAGTCCGCTGAACGTAAGCGGTTACAACAAGCGTCAATAATCACTTACAGTCAGAGAATTGTAATAGCTTACGCAAACGGGGTCATCATCATCATCATCGGCCATCAACTGGACTCCACTTATACTTAACATAAGGTAGGCTAGAGTAATTTGCCGCACCTTGCTTATGCTTAGCAATTGCAGCAAACCACCCCGTTTGCGTGGCCTGGGTGTCCGAAAACTTGTTATCTCGATCGTCTCAGTACTTCGGATGGCCCGTTATGGCTCAATTACACTTGGTTGTTAGCACGTACTCGGGTGCACGAATTCCATTGGCACTCGTATTCGGGCCAATGACCAAATTTAATCGCGCCATTCAGCCGTTGGTCCCGGCTGCATCTGCAGTCGTTAGCACCCACTAGTTTGCACTGAGTCCACGTGGTGGGCCACGGCCCAATCTCCCTATTCTATCCATAGAGAAGGTCTGTGTCCCAGCAGTGGGGACATTAATAGTCTGACGATGATGATATTTTTTAGAAAGTTGGTTGCAATTAATAAGGGCTCCATGGGGGTATGGGATTGAGTCAGGATAGGCAACAGCGCGAGTGATATTTTTTGTTTCGCCAGCTGCCATAGGCTATGGTGCCCGCTTAACATCAGGTGGGTCATAAGCTTGTTTGCCACCCTATTAACATAAAAAATCCGCACGGGAACTCATGGGTTAATATAACCATTTTCCTTACATATTTTGGTCTTGAAGAAAGACCTAACCCAGGGAAAGAAATAGCTGATATTAATGATAACTGTACTAACATTCGTGGAGTTTATATTTTAGTTGGCAATGGAGTACAAAAGGCCGATACTCATGTATCTTCCTACCTACCAGCTGGAACCAACAGAACGATTTCACGTAGAACACGTGACGAAAATTGTGAAGGATACGATCAGTGAGAACTTTTCTACTCACAAATACCATACCATGGTAATATCTTTAACTTTTTTATGAAATATTTTGTGTCGTGATGCGTCAGAGAGGTATAGGTTTCATACATTTAGTATGAAACGAATTAAGTTTATTAGCGTGTCGCGATCTGTCGACACCGTACTCACTCTTACCGTACAAAATGTATGAAACCGATACACACATCAGATAAGAATATTTCTGCCCATACGAACCGTAATTGACACTTGTTCGTCTCTACTACAGCCAATGACAGAAAAATCTGTACTTGCTAGTTTCCATGAAAAGATTAAAAATTCCGTTAGTGATAGCAATAATTTTAATTGAAATTTGCCATTGTAATCTAATAGTTTAGTAGGTGGCCAAAAGTAAAGTCGTCCTGAAGGTATGTGTGTATATGCAACTGATGTTTCGTCTCGTATAATAGTGATCGTTTAACTACAGTACTATCACAGTATATTACTATTGATGGTTTGGTTAATGTTATTAATCCATTTATTTAAAGTGAAACTTCTATAAGGTCACCAAAATTTTTTTCTTCATCTGCCGCATCTCACATGCGTACACATAAGCATCGGCGGTTTAGTTACGTTTACTTTCAATTAAAAGCTGTGATTTTTCAAATAAAAAAAATATTTTATATTATAAAAGCCGATTTTTATTTGCCTGTACTTCCTCGACATAAAAAAATAAGATAGGAACTTAGATCATATTTATGGTCCCAACTTACCACTCAAAATAATCAATAAACATAGGTGTCATTCGAGACCACTAGCTTCGGTCCCGAATGCCGCCTCAAAATTATTTATGTCCCCATCAGGACCAGTGGTCCCGGTCCCAAATGACTACCGACTCCGCGTAAGAAGACCAGCCGAGGAAGGACTTCTTCTAGTAACGATTTTAAAACTTTCACTTGCACCGTGGCAAGGGCGGATCCAGCTTTGGCGCCAGGGGGGGGTCATATAGTCGTGGTATATTAAATATTGAAAGTACTTAAATAAAATCCCCCTGGGTTTGGGGATCCATCCATCATCTGTACCCAGCCCAGGGGGGGGGGGGGTCATGACCCCCATGACCCCCCCTGGATCCGCCCTTGCACCGTGGTTTTGTAAAAGGACACCATTTTTATTTTTATAGGAATCACCAGCTCTAGCGCTACGATTGGCGGGCGAGGTGATGCGTAAAGTCAAAAGGTTGAATTACGACCGCTACCGTATATTCTCCGTAGTCACCATTGGTCAAAAAAGAGCGCAGAGCCACAACAATGCCGTTGCTTTCCTGTGGGATCATGAGAGAGACAATTTTGTAGAAGCCAACCACGAAACCGCCACTGCCTTCATCCAAATAATTGTGTTTGGTGTTTATTTAGATTAGGTCGTGAGATTTTAGAATACTTAATTTATTTTTATTAATGTTGAAACGGCAATCGTTGGTGTACCTATTCTTTGAGATATTTTAATTTGGATGTGAATTTAATTCATTTCACGTTATTTATTAATATCTTTCTATTAGTTTACTTTAGAGATGTGTATTATACGTACTTAAACAGACACACTGATGAAAATCATTATAAATATTTTTTTTAGTTACAATTTTATTTAATAATTTTACTACGCACTTTACGTTAATTTGTGAATAACTTAGCTTTACTCTATCTATGGTTTTATCTTTAGCGATTTTATTATTTACATTAATTTTAAATATAAGTTTGTTCTAATAAAAAAATAATTTTATTTATATTTTTGATAATTCATACTCCTTTGTCATCAATTGAACCATTATCACCATCACCAGCACTAGTACCACAAAATTAACTATTGAGGAAGTCTTCAATAATTCATTTATGTAACTGCCAAATGTACTAATTTATCTCATTAAATAAACGAGATGAATAAACTTTCTTAATCGAAAAATGTAGTCCTTTTGGTAAACGTTTGTGAGCTTAGTAATACAGAAAAGGTTATTTAGCATAACATTATTATACCTACTTATTAACTTTTCAATCCTTTCAAGGAAAATGAAGAGTCTTATTAATTTACGGAGTCTTTGAAGGGACGCAACATTCAGAATCATATTAAGTTTCCTTGAATTTGTAGGCACTCGTTCCCAAAATAAGGTCAGGATACCTTTCTGATGTTACTTTACTTGGCGAGGCTTTTTTCCCTAACTTAACAACTTTCTTAGGGGTCAATTGGAAATTAGATCAATGTTACATTTTCGAAAGTGTGTTTTGCAGATGTTAACTTATTATTTTATGAAGGTTTTCTGCAAGCTGAAATATATTACGATATTATGTTTGAAGCTCATGACGTAGATATTAAGTTTTATGGATTTTTTAAACTACTCAATTTTGTTTTTTGTTCTTTCTTTTCTTTTTTGTATGTTAAAAGAATAGCAAACAAGCTTCTAGCCCGCCCATGGAGCTATTGCTCTATGGGGCCGTCTGATGTTAAGCGGCCAGCAGACCCTTTAGACGCTTGCAGTACAAAAACATCATTCGCGTTGTTGTCTACCCTGACCCAATCACCTACATCGTGAAACCCTGAAAACTTACTCATCAATAAAAACAAAAAAAAACGAGCGAACCTTACAGTAGTCGCGTATGATGTGTAACATTTGAAACCTCACCTTATATTAGTAAAAAAACATAACATATTTCCTCTCGCTTTGGTGCAATTTGTAGAAGTGATTACGTGAAGTGGGACGGAAGTGTGTTACAGGAAGTTTGGGAAGCGCGCGCTATTTGATTTGATTTTAAAACATAATGTTCAAATGGCTTATTCCTTTTGTAGTGTTTTATTTCTTTTTTATTAATATATTTTTTGGTTTCAAATGTTACACATCATATGCGACTATTGTCTCTCTCGTTTTTTTAGTAATAGTACTAACGCTTCTTGTTTTCACAATTATATCGGTTTTGTTGAATATAAACTCAAAACTTAGTTCAGTCACTGGAAATAAAAAATGATATTCCACAATCGCAATATGAATAAAATTCCCTTCTTCTATATTGTAGGCATAATTACATTCTTTTGTCAATATGCACGATACGAAATAGCAATTTCAAACAGTTTTTACACGCTACAGGTATTCCGAAGCACGCCCATCGACATTTATCTATATCGATATGTTTTATATTTCCAACAAAGCTAACGGTATTGCAGTTCGCTGTTATATTAAAAGCAAACAACGCAGGTTTGTGTAGTTTCAATATGTGTTCTTGTACCGTTATATTTAATGTATTGTGTCTACCTATAACACGATTGTTTATTATTGTTGCTTCATGATGTTGACTGTTAAAATGATCCTACTTACTCATAGTCAACCCTACTTATATGAAAAATGTATATAAAATATAGAAAGAATGTTTGTAACAAAATGACGTAAAAACGATTCTACCGATTTCATAGAAACAAGAAACCGGTTAGGTCAGGGTAACCAAAGGTATTTCCTGTGGGTCAATTACTTTATTTTTGATGATAATTAAAATATAAGCCTTTAAATATACATGGAACATGTTATTTTCGCTATTTACGACCTTCTGATGAGCTGTCGGAGAAATCACAATTTGTAATTTATGAAATTAAATTAACTCAATACTTATCCAAAACCTCTGGTTCAGCAATGAGTAAACTCATTTACTTCGGTACTTGTTATAACATACTTAATCTAAGTGATAAAGGTACTTTTAAACATATAAGTATGTCAAGTCTAAATAAAAATAGTCGAATTAACAACTGGACACAAAATAAAAGAAAAAAAATACTAAAAAAGGTTTAACGGAACTCATTCAACGACTTAAAGACTCTTAAATAGTTTTTACAATCTATGCAAAATCTAACAAACCACAAACTATAATATATGACTTAAATGAAATAAAACGTAAGGAAATCCCATAGACTCGTATACAGAATATATCCGATATAGCAACAAACTCAATAAAGATTTGCAATAAATAAAAGTAAAAGAATCATTATTTAAACCAAACAAACAAAATCAAATAACGAAACTGCTCGTAGTCCAAAACGAAAGTTTTTGTTTTCTCATTACAAGGAACTAAATTAAATTTTCAAGTTGTATATTAGATTAGATTGACATATCAATGGCGGCCTTGGCTGTACATTGTTCAATCCAATAGATAACTGTGTATGTCCCATTAGTCCCATTGATCATGATAGGACAAGTTGTATAATTATTTCCTAGTAGTTCCCAGGGACTAGTAATACTCACTCTTACTGTTAAACATGTGCTTGTAGGCCCACGAGACTGCTTAAACTAATATTGTTTATTAATTATTCCTCTATTCGAAAGAATATGTCGAATATTTTTTTAAACAAAACTCGTATCGTCGTAAAGTAAGGTATCGAGTTTATCGGTAAAATATGAAAATTCCAAATTCAATATCGTTTATTCAGTCTGTTACAAGCACTTGTGAATGTCGAAAAGCCACGCCATCGGGTCGCATATTTACGGCGGAAGACCTTGTACTGAGAAGAATCGGCAAGAAACTCAGCAAGGGCTGTTTTTTCTCCCTGAATAACAGACAAAGTCGTCAAATTGAAAAATGACTTCAATATGAGATAACTCATGAAGTCACTTTCTATTAAAAATGTAAATGATAAAAAAGTATGACTATAACCATAGATAATGACATAATATTTATTTATAACTTTTGGGTATTGGCCAACAATGGATTTGGCATTTAAAGCAGCTATCTGCCAATTTTTAAGGGGGTTACCCACCGCGAGGGGAGCGAGCCCATTAATGACTCCGTTTACCTCGCAATACAAAAATGCATACATGGTACATCTCCTTCCATCAACAAAGAGTCGAGTGAAAATGACAAAGATGGCAAGAAGGGTAAAAATGAGCTTGTTGGTTCTGAACTCTTTCTCGGTGGAAAAGCAATACTAGTACACAAAGACCGCTCCGCTAGACATCCCTAGTTCATTCCTCTTTGACGGTTTTTTGATACATACACTTAAATTGTTATTAATACAGTTTAAATTTTATATAACGACACTAAAGGGACTGTACATTTTATAGAATAGAGTTGTCGTTAAATGGAAAGAAGAAAAATCAGAATTATGAAAAGAAAAAGTTTATTTTAAGCTAGTAATTATGTACATAAAAAAATAATCTTATTTGAACGCTATTGCGTATATTCTGCTATTTTTCTCTGACGTCTTTTGCTGCACCAGTTAATTAATTTTGTTTCATTATAATTTCTTTTGTCATGGTCAACAACAGTCTACACGTGCAATCCCAATTTGTAAACAAAAGAAAGAATTTCTTAGAAAGTTTGGTTTGCATGATGCCGGCAGTCGAGTTCATTACGGGCTAGGATAATAAAGCGACAAAAGAACGTACACAGCTGCGTGATTTTCACTAATTTTGGCAACTTAAAATGTACTTTTTATTACTTAATTGTTGTCGTTATTGAGAGTGGGTGTAATGCTATATGGAGTGTATCATTGTATGGAAAACAAAGTAAACCGGACGAGTGATTTCGACGCTTTATGGAGTTTGTCGTTTAATCGAGTGACTTTACATGGAGTTTACACTGTTTATAATCTGCTTACAAATAGCTAATATAAGGTAGGTATACTATAAATCCGCGAAGCAAAATTATGGATATGCAAATATCCGACGACAACGTCAATCGCACAATCAGAAAAAACAAATCTAAAAATCTAATACTGCAATATGTTTTAAAGTGGATACAATATCGAGTCGCAAATAGTGTTCGCGTCAAAATATAAACGAAAACTAATAACGTAGACATCCCTAGTTCATTCCTCTTTGACGGTTTTTTGATACATACACTTAAATTGTTATTAATACAGTTTAAATTTTATATAACGACACTAAAGGGACTGTACATTTTATAGAATAGAGTTGTCGTTAAATGGAAAGAAGAAAAATCAGAATTATGAAAAGAAAAAGTTTATTTTAAGCTAGTAATTATGTACATAAAAAATAATCTTATTTGAACGCTATTGCGTATATTCTGCTATTTTTCTCTGACGTCTTTTGCTGCACCAGTTAATTAATTTTGTTTCATTATAATTTCTTTTGTCATGGTCAACAACAGTCTACACGTGCAATCCCAATTTGTAAACAAAAGAAAGAATTTCTTAGAAAGTTTGGTTTGCATGATGCCGGCAGTCGAGTTCATTACGGGCTAGGATAATAAAGCGACAAAAGAACGTACACAGCTGCGTGATTTTCACTAATTTTGGCAACTTAAAATGTACTTTTTATTACTTAATTGTTGTCGTTATTGAGAGTGGGTGTAATGCTATATGGAGTGTATCATTGTATGGAAAACAAAGTAAACCGGACGAGTGATTTCGACGCTTTATGGAGTTTGTCGTTTAATCGAGTGACTTTACATGGAGTTTACACTGTTTATAATCTGCTTACAAATAGCTAATATAAGGTAGGTATACTATAAATCCGCGAAGCAAAATTATGGATATGCAAATATCCGACGACAACGTCAATCGCACAATCAGAAAAAACAAATCTAAAAATCTAATACTGCAATATGTTTTAAAGTGGATACAATATCGAGTCGCAAATAGTGTTCGCGTCAAAATATAAACGAAAACTAATAACGTAGAGTCGTTGGGATTGCAGCAAAATGTCGGATATCGTAGCGGCGA